TTTTTAATTGTTTAAGAAATATTTTTTTAAAATATCAATAAAACCCTATATATAATTATAACAAAATACAAAATATTCCACAACCTTAAATCCTAAAACCACAAAATCTTCAAAATTCCCTATTCAATTCAAAAATCACATAAATACAAAAAAAATTAAATTCTAATTTAAATATCTTTAACCAAATATCCTAAATTCAAATCCTAATCCAAACCTTAAATTTAATTGTGTTTTTTAAATTTAATTTTAAAAATCCTCCCCACCCATCCTAATCTAAAACTTAAAAAATAAATTTCAAATATATAATATTATTTTTTGCAAAGAATATTTAATCAAATATATCCTTTTTAAACAAATATAAAATACATATTTTCAAAAAGCCAATTAACAAATATTAAATAAGAAAATCAAATTACATTCTTAAATACATTTATATGAATTTATTTATTTATTTAAATAATTAATACTAATAATCAAAAAAATTAGAAGGAACTTCCGTATTACGGCAACTAATTGAAAGCCAACTCTCGCCGAGACAGATGAAGAGAAGGAATAAGCACGCGAGAAAATATGCGCGCGTGTGGTGGGAGTAAAGAATCTGCAAAAAGCGTGGTCCTATGCGTGAATTGGTGTCTCCGGAAAGCTGGAAGTTCGCGGCGCCTGGTCGAAGCGCATTTGGAGCGCGTTCGGAGCGTATTCGGAGCACGATCGAGCAGTCTCGGACCATGCTCGGAGCGCGGGCCCATTGGCGCGGCAATACGAAGGTTTTGCAAGGATTGAATTGTGTGGTAAGCGCAGCATTTTCGCAAGGTGAGGTACAGATTTCGTGGCAGGCGTAATATTTTCGTAAAGTCAAGTTTTCCCTAGGCTTGAATTGCGTGGCAGGTACAGCGCTATCGAAAGGTTAGGTACAAATATCGTGGCAGGCGCACAGATTTTGTAGCAGGCACAGCACTTTCGAAAGGTCAGGTATAGATTTCGCAACAGACGCAACACTTTCGCAAGGTCACGCAAAGAATTCGTGGCAGGTGCAGCACTTTTGCAAGGTCAAATGCAGAATTCGTGGCAAGCGCAGCATTTTCGCAAGGTCAAATGCAAAATTCGTAGCAGGCACAGCACTTTCGCAAGGTCAAGCAAAGATTTCGTGGCATGCACAGCACTTCGTACAAAAGTAGTACGCGAAATCAATTTTCGCAACTGGAACTCCAAAATTGCAATTTTTAAGTACGAAAATAGTATGCGAAATCCATTTTCGCAGCTAAGGCTCGAAAATCGCAACTTTTGAGTACGAAAGCAGTACGCGAAATCCGATAAATAGAGGAATAGATAAAAGGATAGATAGATAGATATAGATAAAGAAAGAAATAAAAACATAAATAAATGGATAGATAAGTAAATAAAAAATAAATAAACAGAAAGAAAAAAAGAAAGAAATAGAAAAAGAAATAAATCAATAATTTAATAACAAATAAATAAATACACAAACAGAAAAATAAAGATGTAGATAGATAAAGAAATATATAGATAGATAAATGGATAGATGGATGGATGGATAGTAGATAAATAAGGAAAAAGAGAAAAATAAAGAGATATATAAAAAGTTAGGCAAATAGAAAAATAAAATATAAATGAATATATAAATATATAAAATTATAATTAAATATAAAGATGAATAAATACACGAAAAACAAAAAATAGATAAATAGACAAATAAATATATAGGTAAATAAATAAATACATACACAAATAAATAGATCAAAGGAGAGATAGATAAACAGAGAAAGAGAGATAAATAAACAGATATGCAAATAAAAAGATATATATAAACAAAAAGAAATATATAAATAAAAAAAAATACATAAATAAAAAAAGAAAAATAAAGAAAATTATAAAAAGATAAATAAATAAATAAACAAAAAATAAATAGACAAATAAATTAATAAATAGAAAAATAAATATATAAATAAATAAATAAATAAATACAAACATAAATAAATAAACATATAAATAAATAGATAAACAAATAGAAAGAAAAAAAGAAAAAATAGAGGGATAGAGAGATAAACAAATCAAAAACAAGAGACATAGATAAAGATATAAAAATAAATAAATAAGCAACTAAATAATTAAATAAGTAAAAAAATAAAAAAAATAAAAAACACCATATAAATAAACAAACAAAAAAATGGAAAATTAACGGAGAAAAAAAAACAATAAAAAACGGAAAAAAAAAGAAAAAAAAGAAAAAAAAGAAAACTATAATTTTTATATTTTTGAAATTTCCGCCCACCGACTTCGCCGACTCTATTAATAACACATAATATTCACATTAAAAACAATAAATCAAAAATAATATATATAAATTATGTAATATTTCATACCCTTCATACTTAATTTCATAATATTTTATAAATAACATATAAATAATAATTATATATTTTAATTTGCCAAATTTATAAAATGTTCATTTAAACTTAACATATAATAATTATTATCAAAAATCCATATAAAAAAAGCACAACTAATATCCACAACAACATACATTTTCCCCAACAGCTGAAAGCTTTGGGGTCTCAGCCTAGATGGGGTCCCGGGGTGGTCCGGGGCGGCCCTGAGGTAAGGTTCCACGAGGGTTCCACGAGGGTTCCACCAGGTTCTGCAAGGGCTGCGGGGTAGTCCGGGGTGGTTTAAGGTAAGGTTCCACGCCACCAGGGTTCCACCAAAGGTTTAAGGCAAGGTTCCACGAGGGTTCCACCAGGGTTCCACCAGGTTCTGCGAGGGCTGCGGGGTGGTCCGGGGGTTCCACGAAGGTTCCACCAGGTTCTACAAGGGCTGCGGGATGGTCTTGGGTGGTTTGAGGTAAAGTTCCATGGGTTTCACCAGGATTCCGTGGGGGGATGTTCCACCACGTTCTGCGAGGTGGTCTGGGGTGGTTTGAGGCAAGGTTCCACGAGGGTTCCATCAGGGTTCCACCAGTTTCTGCAAGGGCTGCGGGGGTGGTCCGGGGTAGTTTGAGGTAAGGTTCCACAAGGGTTTCACCAGGATTCCGTGGGGGGATGTTCCACCACGTTCTGCGAGGGCTATGGGGTGGTCTGGGGTGGTTTGAGGCAAGGTTCCACAAGGGTTCCATCAGGGTTCCACCAGGTTCTGCAAGGGCTGCGGGGTGGTCCGGGGTGGTTTGAGGTAAGGTTCCAACAGTTCCACCAGGGTTCTGCCAGGGCTGCGGGGGGTCCGGGGTGGTTTGAGGTCAGGTTCCACCCACCATGGTTCCACCAGGTTCAACGGACCAGGTTCTTACCAGGTTCTAATTCCGCCAGGGTTTCACCAAGGCAAAGGTTCCACAAGGATTCTCCACCAGGGCTCTACCAGTGTTCCACCAGGCTCTGCGAGGGCTGCGGGGTGGTCCGGGGTGGTTTGAGAAGGTTCCACAAAAGCTCCTCCAAAGTTCGACCAGTTCCACCATTGTTGCACCAGGTTCTGCAAGGGCTGCGGGGTGGTCGAGGTTCTGCGAGGGGTGTGGGATGGTCCGGGGCGAGGTAAGGTTTCAAAGGGTTCCACAGAGTTGCGCGAGGATTCCACAAAGGTTCCGCAAGGTTCCATGGTTTGCCCTAAAGAAAAATAATGTGTCGTGCGCCCGTCGTCTGCTCAGAAGATCGCCTATGCTCACAGAGTTCATGGTTCTCAGCACACTTTCAATGTTTTTTGACTTGCTCACTTCTTCAGGCAATGCGGCCCGAAATGTTGGCTTTGCTGCAAATCAGATCACGTTGCTGCGGGACTCTCACTGTGCAGCAGAGTAAATGCTTGGCAGTACTGAGTAATACTTCTGCAAAAGCTATGGGGCAGCCCTGAGGAAAGGTTCCAACAAAGTTTCACCCTTCAACGAGGACGGTTTGCGAGGTGATGTGCCGTCGGGGCCCGATTGCACCGTCGGGGACTGATCGGGCCCGATTGCGCCGTCGGGCCCCGATCGGGGCCGGACTCAGTCGGGCCGCGTCAACTGTACCAAGCTGGTATGGCCCAGTTTTGCTGGATACAAAAAACCGGCGTTGATCTATAATATGTGGCTGGGGTTGGCGGGAGCCCGCACCACGGGACCATCGGCCCGGTCGGGGCCCGATTGCGCTGTCGAGCCCCGCTGGGGCCCCGAGAGCGGAGCCCCGATTGCGCCGTCGGGCCCCGATCGGGCCCCGATTGCGCCGTCAGGCCCCGATCAGGGCGCGATTGCGCAGTCACTCTTAGCTTTGCTTTACAAAGTTACAACGCGGCATCCTCAGCAAAACCGGTCGCGGGGTGTTCCGCAAGGATTCTGGGAGGGTGTGGCGCTGTTGGGGATATCGCCTGAGCTTATTTTTTTTACTCCCATCAACCCTCGCAAAACCTTGTAGAAATCTGGTGGAACCCTAGTGGAACCCTAGTAGAACCCTAGTAGAACCCTCGTAGAACCTTACCTCAGGGCTGTCCCAGACCACCCTGGAGCCTATCTGGGCTGAGACCCCAAAAGTTTCAGCTGTTGGGGAATAGACCAATATATTTAAGGCTAAAGACCCGGAAGCTAAGAAATAACCAAGATCTACATATATTTACGATCGCACATATTCGCAACTTATTTCCGAATTCCCTGCTCGCCGTATTATTAGGGTTTCCGCAAGTGTTATTTTCAAGGGTCGCGCCATGCAATCGCTTGAATCTGTCGACGATACTCTGCCCACAACAATAATTTCATTGACGTTGATTGCTCCATGCTCCAGCGCTCCACTCCAAGTTCAGATTTCAATAAACAAAGGAGACATTTACACGGGCAAAAGCACAAGCCTACATTTAAAATGCATTGAAACTTCAAACAAAGGCCGGTATCGTAAAAACAAGATAAGGGGTAAGATGAAACGGGGCAAAGAAGACCCATCTTGGGACATGCCGCGCGCAACAAGAAAAGACATAAGGCACATGTAAACGGTGCGGCAAAAGCTGCCAAACAAGTTTGTTTTCTTTTCAGATTTGTCAATTTCGTCAGTCAGCTAGATTCTTGTACATATATAACGTGAGATGATCCTCCGCGTCCTGACAAATGCCATGAGATATGTTGAAATCACATGCTGCGCGAGTCCTGTGCTTCACAATCCATGCAAAATGAACGCAAGAGAACAGTTCCAGACCCTGAAAGAACGCACAAGCCACACAGCTGGGCCTTCTGTCTCTTTCGCACAGCGTAACCGCTGCTGTTATACAGGTTGAAGGCAGCGGGGTCATCGTCAGTGTGCAGGTACAGGGCGTTGCCCTGCCAAGCAGTCCTGGTCAATGAATCTTGGGACTTTCTAAGCGCGGCGCACTAACACGTGCCAAGCGCACTCAATCGACTTGAGGGGGGAACAAACAACTTGAGGGGGGAACAAAAACGAGCTTGGCAGAAGCAAGTCGGGAAAGAACTGGAAAGCTGACTGGGAGAAGCAGCGGAGACAAGAGGGAGTAGCCAAGCAAGGAAGCAAGTGGGAGAGAAGCAAGGGGCAGAAAGGATCTCGAGGGCAAACGTATGAACAAAAGCGTACAAAATGCCAAGAGAAGAGCAATCAGTGCTGGGGCGAAGGCAGCGAGAGAGGGCGCGGGCGACTGCGCGTGTCAGGTATTTCAAGGATCTTATTGCCAGATCTGCCGCGCCTAACTTCTGAACCAAGCACTTCTTACGTAGGCAGTAACATCATCTGGCTGGCGCTGACGTCTGTGATCCTTACACGAATGCGCCTGCCAAAACACGCTGTGCGGGAGATAGCCATGATTCGCTGAAGAAAAACTATGGCAATCCAAAATGTAAATTAACGCGGCAATGATTATACACACCCATACACCCTTTGCTGGCACATCTCGTCTCGCTGTTTTGCAGCCAACTGGGGTCTAATCTATCTCTGCGGCGTCATGTCGAAAGTAAGCAAATCCCGCTTTTTTGCAGCCAACGGATTTCTATTCCAACTCTGAGGCTTCACGTTGAAAGTGCGGACGCTAATCGGGACTGGCGTCGTGGCGCGGAGAGGACAACCAAAGCAACATGGGCAAGGTTGCGCTGCGCCATCTATTCTGGTCATCTGTTCAAATGGTCCTGCTGAAATCTTCCACCAACTTCAGCAGCTTGCGGCCCAGGCCCCGGCCTCTGCAGGCCTGACAGATTAACTTGGGAACCACCAGAAAAGCACCCGTTTGCTCAAGTATCCAATTGGAGAAAAATGCAACAGCAGGGACCCTGCTGGAGCAAAATTGTTCTATTGCGTGAATCGATTCACATGACTTTCCTTGTCCAGAGTTGACAACCTTCAACACATTAAATTCACTGCAAGCCAGACTTCTGCGTCACGAGTTGCAACACGTGGTGAAATCGGAGCGTAGCACGTTTGGCTGCAACGATTCTCTCGAGTTGGGTGCAGAAAAACGAAGCGCTGGTTGTTTTCTGGTGAGGGCGAGCGAGTAAGGGATTTTGAGTCCAACATGTTCGCCTCACCAGCCCGCCGTTTCCCTCGGAAGGGGCCGCCTTTGCCACGCACAGGTTCGTCAGGTACGGCTGCGAATCAGGGCGCCTGGACTCCAAAACGTGGGAAGTTCTGCCAACAGCTCTTGTCTCTTCAAAGACGCGCTTCTTAGAGCAGTCGCCAGCGCCCAAGCCTTCCCGCTCATACGACAGCGTTCGCCAACCCCTGTTGTGTTTCTTTCATTTATGTCTGCCTCGTGCTTGTTTTGGTACGCCTGTGAGTGTGTGTGTGTGTAGTGTTGTGATTCTCTGCAAAGAACGCATTTTTTCTAACATTACAGATTGAGCAATGTTGCTTCACCCCTTCTTCTCACTCCTGTATTTGCTTAACTGCATTCATTTTGGATTTCTTTGCTTCTGACTTCTTCTTGTGTACTTCACGGCATCTCTGACAACTTTTGAAAACTCTTCTAAACAGATTTCCAGCCTTACAGCGTCCACACCCCGAACAATCTTTCTTTTTTTGCAAGAGTTGAAACGCGAAGGCGAGTTGGGGGGAGTACAGCAGCAACTTTTTTGGTCTTGGAGCAAAAGGCAGCTTTTGCATCCCCAGCTTTGCTGGTATCATCCTGCAAGCGCCTGGGTGATGCTTGGTGCGCTGGGGTTTTAGTCTTTGACACGATGCTTTGCGGGCGTTTGCGTCCCCAGCTTCTGCTAAGGGTGCCGGGTCGGTTCTTGCCCGTTTGCGGTAGCAGTTGAGGTTGCCTTCCATGCCCCCCCTTGGCCTTCCCAAACGATACTTCTACCACCCAAAAGGGGAAACTTCTGCCGCACCCTACTCTAGCGTCCTTTGCCACTTGGCCCCCCTTCGAATTGTTGAGAGGGCAGCATCCACATGTAGTAGTTCATTGGTCGTTCCTGGAAGCCCCTCTCGACAACAAGCATCGTCGCTGTTCAAGCGCATCCATGCCCTCTACATCTTGGGGGGCCCGCGGAAGCTGACGCCACGAGCTGGTTGAAGCCGACGCGCTCGTTCTATGATGAAAGGGACGAACCATTAAGGGAAAGTGAGAATGTAATTAAGAACAAATGAGGCTTACAGATGACACATTGCAAACAAACATGCTGGAGCAAGGCCTTGCTTGAAGGGACTTGGTTGGTAGGTTTCTGGCCAGCGCATGTTAGCGTGGCCAGGCCCGCGCTTCCCCCGGCCAAAGCTTGGGGAACTAAACGCAGCCAAAACACAGGCCACACCATGGGCAACTGGGTCAACCCAAGGGCGGCGCAAGTGCGGAGAACAACACAGAAAGAAAGGCCACCGCGGGGCCACGGAAGGGTTCAAGGCCACGCAAGGGCCAAGACAGGAAGCAAGGCGCGCAAGCGACGCAAGTTGCGTTGAGATATGGTGCGCCCTCCCTTTGGTCCAAAATGGACAAGTGACCTTGGTCGACGAGATGACTGTGCTGGAGGGCATTCCACGCAGGGCACGCAGGCCATGCCGGAAGCAAGGCCCGCGTGGCCGCGCAGAGGCCAAGACAGGAAGCAAAGTCAGCAAAGAGAGGGCAGCAAGGCTATGGAAGGAGCAAAGTGAGCCAAGCAAGGCCACGCGGCGGCAACAGCACAACAAGCAAAGTGAGGATGGGCCATAAAAGAAGCAAAGCAGACAAGGCCACAGGAGCCACGGAAGGCCACGTAGGGGCCAAGACAGCACGCGCGAGGAAGCAAAGTGAGGACATCTTCTTTACCATTTTTGGTGTAGGGGCGAAGGAGATAAAAAACAGGGAGAGAATCACTCATGTGTGAAGCTGGCAAAAGAAGCTGTCTAAAGATGACATTGTGCTTAAGTGTTTTGGAATAACTGGTGATATGCTGGCATCGGCGCGCAGCATTGCTTGTACCAGTATGAGATGCTGAAATGTAGCACATGAAATCAGAGAGACTAAACATAAATGCCAAGTATGTAGAAGGAATTCGCATTGCCAGAAAATTGGTCAAGACGCCAAGAATAGACACACATTTGAAATACAGAACTATGAATCTAGAAGACAATGAAATAGGACAACACATGAAATTACAGAATCTAGTAAACGCAGAAGTCGCATCTATTGTAGATGTGAATGTTATTTTTGCATACGGTGCTACTGCTGACTCCTCGCAGGGGGCGAGAGTAGAAGGACGCATTACCATTCATCAACACAACTTGTCTATTGTCTCCAGAGGGTGGCTACTGTGCGCAGCTACTAGTTTAGACATGTCATTTTATTGAAACGGCAAGTTAGACAAACAAAGTATGTTTAACACAGTTTTTGAGACCTTCAATATAGAACCGTGGCGCCCAGAGAGAGAATAACACATAGCCGTGGGTTGGGTTGATGGACTACGAGACGCGCGAGGAGGGCGGAGGTAGCTGGCTGCCGCTGGGGCACGGGGCGCGCAGGCAGCAGTTCAGACATCCTGGCCCGCCGGAACCGGCGGGCGGCAGAGCAAGGCACTGAAGGTTTATGACAGTTTCAAAAGTGTAACACTCAGTTTTTGTTGAAACGAAGCAGGGGGATTTGTGTGGTAACTTCACGGCACTGGCGACTGGATAACTCTGAAAGGCTTCCATTGCAATGTTTGGGCAGACTCTAAGGTTTTAAGATTACTTTAAAACCACAAGTAACTAATGAACATCATTAAAGCGTTTCCCCTTCTCTGCCACAAATCTTCTCGAAACCGATCCAACTCCGGTCCCAAGAAACCGGCCAAAACCGGTCCACTCTCAAATCATCGGCCAAATCCCGTCGAATTTTCCCCTTGCCGGCCGAGCCAATCTAGAACCAGCCGAGCCGCCTCTAGTAACCAGTCCAACTCCGGTCAAGAACTCCATCAAGCCGGTCAACTTCCCCTGAACAACCCCTCTGAAAACCGGTCCAACTCGGTCAAGTCTGTGGAAACGCGCGGACACACGCGCCCACCCTCTACCTTAGAAACCAGCTCACGCATCTCGGCGCTGACTCACTCACTCTAACAAACACAACACTTCAAGGCAAACAAAAACACAGTATATACCTCAAAGCGAGGCAAAAGCCGAATGGTCGAGGCGGGCAAGGCGAGGAATATTGCAATGCAATCAGGATATTATAAAACCTAATCTTATTACAAACTATAAACGGAAAACTTGAAAGACATATAGAAGAAGACTTAATAATAGTCCTTGTCGCTAATGACATCCCGCCTCATGATTATGCTAGACAACTTGTGAAGATCAATAAGAACACATATGATGTTGTTAACAACGTATCAGTATCATGGCTGTTCAAACGTGCACATGCAATCGATGTGAAATAACATATTAAGCTCTACCTTCAAAATACAAATTTTAACGCGAAGCTTTACCTTTAACGCGGAAATACGAGTTTTATCATTTAGATAATGTATGAAAGGAGCTGTAAGAATGGACTGCTATATAATCATCAGTTGAATTATCCCGAACTCAAATTCAAGTAATCAAATTAACAGTATCAGCATACACATCTGATACTTTTTTATACGGATAAATACAACATACACAGGGATATGTGTTACGATAAAAGCGTTGGAGACAAGCGGTAACTTTACAAGATGCCAGAAAGCAGGACAAACCAGATACTGCGGATGAAATTAATGAGTTCTTGAAACATAACTTTGATGGGAGAAGGAACATGCGAGGGCCAAACAGTTTTGCGCTCCACACAGGCATTGGGAGTTTCAAGTGGGCTGAATTCGGTTCACACTCGTCTCCGTTTACAAATACACTGATATACAGTGACGAAGAAGGCAGTTTACTTAGTTCCACGATTAGAGACTATCTTAAATCGGAAAACATAGGGCTACACACCACTAGGGGTCACCCTGCCTTTGGTGAAAGATTTACCAGGACAAACAAAGATATGCTACAGAGACCAGATTTCCACGGATAGATTATGGTTCGGAACAAGTATCGACATACAATAACACGAAATTTGCACCAATAAGAGCAAGGAAGGAGAAACATGAGTTTGAGGTGAAATTGAACATTTCAATGAATGCAGAAAAACCGGCTGCTGATTTGGATGTGAAAGATTGTGGAAAGGCAGGAAATAGACTTAGTCCGAAGTATTATCATGTGTCCGACTTGCCTAAACCACTGTTTCGTGTTGAATGTATACTTCTTCGTTATTCAGACAATATCCAAAGCATCTTAAGCACAAATGACTGACACCCGAAACTTTGTCTTTGGAGTTGTCCGGGATTTGTGAGTGGTTGCGAATGCTTCGCGAGGAGTTTGATTTACCGTATGTAGCGCTTTTGTAGGGCAACCTCTTCGCGTTTAATGGGGAACCCTCGTTTTAGTGGGCAACCTCCTCGTTTTATCGGGCAACCTCCTTGCTTTTATGGGCGCGCCTCCACTGTTTTGACTCCAAACATCACGAGTGAGTTGATTAGTGAGTTGTTGGTGAGTGTTCTGTAAGTGTCGTCGTGTGCTTTGTTGATAGGTGTGATAAGTTTTGGTTTGGGTTTGGGGCGTGTATTTCGGGGCAGGCGGCTAACAATCCTGCAAAAAGTATGTTGGTTTGAAGTTGATTAAAAGAGTTGGTTGCTTATAGAATATGAAAATGACATATTGTTCAGGGTGTGGGTGGGATAAGGATGTAAACGGTTTTACAGGAACAGTCAAACTGCCGCGAATTACAAAGCAAGAAGTCAGATGCAATTACACATCTACGCGGTTAAGCAGACAAAGGATCTTGGGGCGTTTCGTAAGTTTTTGTGCGGCAGGTTGATAAATGCTGCAGCTTGGTCTGACACATGAGCGGCCACTGCTTGCTCATGACCCGCTGCAAAGAGCACCCTGTTTGCAGCCTGCACATGCAAGCAACAATTCAACAAACCGATCCCCCTTGAAAGAAAGCAGCGCCACATTTCTTCCTGCAATGGCCTGCCCAAACCTTCGGGCTGCTTGACGCACAGCTCGAAATAGCCGACGGGCGCGTCGCCCTTCCGCCTTAACAGGACCTCACTCACGGCAAGGCCCAGCCGAAGTCGTTTCTGCAAATGGGAATATGTCACAGCGGAACTCCAAAATGATACGAGGCATTAGGTAGCGGTTTTCCTTTGGCTACCCTTGTAACCAGCCAAGATGCGCCCAAGTTCCACTCCGCGGAACTTGGCCTTCGCAGGCTGGGAGCCTGCAGCAGTTGGGCCAAGCGCTTCCGCATAGCCCCCAGCGTCATCTGCCGCTCACTGAGTGCCTTGGGTGAGGCACCCGGTCAAAGGACGCGGATAGGAAGCCAATTCAATGACCCAACAGCTTTGCCTTCATCCTGAAGCAACATGTCTTGGACAGTTGTCAGCTCAAAAAGTCACTGGAGCATTGTTTGCAGGCCAAGTATGGCCAAATCGTCAATCTGAGTGGGGTCCCTGAGGATGTTGCTGAGGTTCAACCGTCAAAGCCATGTGCCGCAAAGGGGCCACCCAGCCGTTCCACAGACCACTCAGTGGGTTTCCGTCATCAATCATCCTTTCGCGGGCTCAGGCGTTCTTAAACGCCCATGAAAACAGTTGCCTGTTGGCCAATAATCCAAATGGGCGCATTTTCTATCACCTGCAGGATGTGGGATGTTGGGGTCTCATCCCACACCCCAGCCCATGTCCTGTCTTGGATGTGCCGCTGAAAGCTTTCATCCACCAGGTCCGTAAGTCCCTGCATGTCTTCGTCCTCTGGCACCACCAGCTCAAAGCCTCCTCAAGCGCTAACCAAATAAACCTCCGCAAAAGGCTCCGGCTCTCAAACAAGGGGCCGTGAAGAAGCCCAATTTCTGGACACTTTGAAGGTCTCAAACTTCTGGAAGAGCAACCTTAAAAAAGGCAAAGCGCATCAAGGTCTCACGAGGACAAAAGGTTCCCCTTCAAGTCCAATGTAAAAGTGCCAGGTCTGGCCACTGCGTCTCGATCCCAAGCAACTCACGCTTCGGCCCGCACCTTCGCAGGCATCTTTGGCAGCTGCGAGCACCTTGAGGCGAATGCAAACGCGAGGGGAAAGGCAGAAAACCAATCATAACAGGCGGAACAAAAGGCAACGCTATGCAACGCTGAAAGCTCCACGTCCTCTTGTCGCATAAAAGGGAGCTGGGCCCAGCTGTCATCCACTGTAGCGCGCGCAGAAGTATTGTGGGGATGGCATGTGTGTTTCTGCTCATTTGTTTGTTTGCGCTCTGCTTCTTCATTTGCTTGCGCGCTTGCCTGCCCGCTTGCTTGCTCGTTGGGTTTGTTTTTTCGCTCGTGCAACAAGTGTATCTATGTCACCTTGGGGAAAACCTGTGTGTTCAATATTTCGAAAGAATTTTGAGATACCAGGATGGTTTTTTGCAAAGCACCTTTGATGACCCGCGAGTTGGCTTGAACAAACTGGTGCGCAGGCACTTCTTTGACACCGCGCGTGGCATTTAGTTTACTATTAAACAAAATAAGTTGCCGTTAGTTGTCTAGTTAAAAGCCAACAAGACACAGCTTTTGTTGTTTCCTGCGTGAAATGCACAAGCCCCGATGCAGGCGACAAACTCGAATGCAGAACCCGCAGCCCCAAAATATTCCCAAAGACACCTCCAACGACATGACTGAAGCCACCCTAGAAGCAAACCGCCAAAACAGTCGTCAACACTTCTCGAAAACCATCCACCCCAGAATCCAACAAACAAAGCATTCCCAAAGCTTTGCCCAAAAGCCCCAACACACCCCCAAAGTCAGCCTCAAAGACCCAACACTTTGATAGAAAAACAAGGTCAAAAGACATGTAAAACGCAACGAGGTCCACCAAAGACAATCCACTCCCAAGACATCTTCCAAGACACGCCCCGACAAATACCCGCAATGACAAACCTCAAACGAAGACCCCGTAGATGCCACCAACGACATCTTCATTGACACTTCCCAAAAACATCCACTGAATTCTAGTCGCAGAGTTTTTCAACGAATGAACTGTCAGGATGGCTGATTGCTGATTGGAGTCCACTAATGGTCCACTCTACCATTTTAATTTGATTCGGGCACGGCGTCGCAGCTTGGGGCTGGCGCGCCGATTATGTTTTCAGACGCTCGAAGTGGCGAATCGGAGCCTTCCAAGAGGCGTGTTCAAATCTAGTCAAACTTTTGGTGGCCCGCTGTCGGGCGTGTTCACGCCGAAGCCTTCCAAGAAGGAATTTGGGCCAGATGTGACAAAAACAACGCAATGAGCGTTTTAAAGGCATAGAATGTCTAGTCCGGGCAGCAACCCCTGCAGCCAACCAGTGCAGCTGGTGGCAAGGCCCTAGGAACAGCGCGAAGTTGGTACGCGGGGAAGCCTGCAGAGTTACGCGGGCTTGCTTTATGTGTTATATGATAGTTATATCTGTGGCTTATTTCTTGCGCATTTTGCTGTTGTGGGTGTTTGCTGATTTCCAAGTAGCACTCTGACCTGGGAACATAAGCAACATAGAACTTGTTGCGCAATAAAACTTGAGCGATTACGCGGGCGTGTTTTATTTGTGTTGTATTGTGATTTGTTCCGTGGAATGTCTTGCGCACACGTTTGTTTGTGGTCCCGTTGTTTGTGATTTCCGCGCGAGCTCTTTCCTCGCGAGAGGCGCCCCGATGGAATTTGAGGAGGACAGAAATTGTTTTGAATGTCATTTTTCAATCCCGTCTAGCAATACTTCAACTTAGAACTGAAAATTGCAATCAAAATGGAACTGATAACTTTGAGCTTTTTGTCTGCAAAATACGCTACACATGTAGTTCAGGGGAGGTGAGAGGCGCATGGGATTCCAGATTCCCCGACCCCCCTCCCAACATCTTGAATCTTGAGCCTCATCCATTTGTAGTAAGCGGTCGGCAGTTCCGCTGAACAGCACCACTCTAGGTGTCACTTTGGTTCAACGCGCCTGTGACAGCTCTGTTCTCGCGCCTTATCATTTTGCAGAGAAAAACAAGCAAACCTTCAGTTTTGTGGAACTTCAAAACTTAAATTGATATCCACATTAATTGTACAGGCAGTTGATACCGTTCCGCAAAATGGAGGAACAAACATTAGAGTTGCAAGTTGGCATTGAAATCTTCAGCTTCGAAAGGTTAAATACCGTTGCAACAGTCCGTGCAATTTTCAGTTGACACGACTTGGGCCAAGCCAACCAGCGCAGCATGTAATTTAAGCATGAGGGCACCTGCAAGATCGAACAAGAAAGGCCTGTCAAAACTTGCAAGCTTCTGGCAAACCTTAAAAGCTTCTTGGCCTTGAGTGCGCCCAAGCTTGCACGTGAAGCAGTTTGTTGGGAATGTTGAAAGTGTTGGAAAAATAGCAAGTGTTGCGCAACATTTCCGAGACCCTCAGCGAGCCAAGCTATGAAGTTGCCCAATACTACAATAGAGCCACTCAACGAAAAAGGCAAACACACAAAGCCAAGAAACAACAAAATACAAAAGAAACAATCCTACCCCCACCATTGTTGGATAGCTTGTTTTGTTTTGTTGTTGGATTCTTGCTTTCTGTCTATTGCAATGTCGGCCAAATGTTGCGCAACATCTCCCAGCCTCCCAGCTTGGTTTGCAAGGTTGCACATGTTGCGCAACATATGTCAAATGGTGCGCGACATGTTGTGAAGTTGCCCGAATTCCCACACAAAATAAGCCTGAGAAACCACAACTTTAGTTTTTGTGGTGTGTGTGTGTTACAATTTGGGAGACGTCGCGCAACATTTCTGCTGGACACAACAGAAAAAAACACTACAAAGTACCTGTTTGCAGTTTGTTGGTTCGCAACATGTGGGGTGTGTTGTGCAACACCCCCTAAAGTTCGAACCAAATATGCCACGTCTTGATGGTTCTCAGCATGCCTGCCAAATTTGATTTTTGCTTTTGGGGGTGCCGTTTACATATAGATATATACATGTAAACATATATGTATACATATATATATATAACATACATATATACGGCGTTTATGATGGAGGGCGCGTTCAAACAGAAGAAGCAAAACACACACAAGGCAAACGGTGGGACCGACAACTGAAGCCGACAGCAATCAGCTAAAAATGAGTTGCAAGAGACAGTGTCCCAAGCAGCGCCCGGCGCGCTCGCAACTTGAGGTCAATTAGACAAACCCACCACCAAGTCTTAAAATGGTAGCACGCGCACAAAAAACATTCGTATCCCGGAAAAGATTGTTTGGCCGAAAGGGCGTGGGAAACGGCCACCGCTTGCGTAAGTTGGGAGGCGGCCCATATCCTCCCCAGAAAACCTGTGGACTTGTGGTTTGTCGTCGGTTGCTCATGTTGTCCGAGGTGGCTGCAGTCCAACTGGGTTGTCTCAGGACCTCAAGCGCGCGCTTTCAATTCAACCGCCGGGATGCCCATCACACGGTTACGAAAAGGATACATCCAAACACCACCTGCTTGACACGCGGATCTATACTTTAAGCGCCTCACCTTGAAAGGGACAAGGGGTTTCCTGTCGCGCCTCGGGGTGGAGCTCCGCCCCTGCGACCTGGGACCACGGCAGCGCACGCGCGGCCTCGTGCGCGAAAGTCGGAGACCTGATCCGCCTTTTCTTTGGTACTGATTTGGATCCCCTTTTTCTCGCCCTTTTGTGTCAAAGTGGCCTGCTTTTTGGGTTTTTCTCTGGATGTCTGTCAAGCAAGTTTGTTCGGGCCGTGTACTGGTACCAAAACCAGTTTTGCATGTTCGACGCTTTATTTCCCGATGTTCCCCGAAGCCCGCTGACGCGCGTACATACATACGTACATACACACATGCATACGTACATACATACATAACATAACATAACATACCATGCATACACACATTACATAAACACACAACAAAACATAACATGTCAGGCCATGTCATAAAAACATAACATAACATAACATACCAGTACATACATACACACGTACATACATACATACATTAATACATGCGTTACATTACATTACATTACCGTATGCATACATACACATTACATTACATACATACATACATACATACATACATACAATACACTTACATTACATGACATTACATACATACATTACATACGTACGTACATACATACATAACACAGCATAGGATAACGTAACGTAACGTAGCATAACATACATACACACATACATACATACATACATACATACATACATACATACATACATACATACATTACATTACATACATACATTACATAGATACAAGACATAACAACATCGTAACATAAAATACATATATTAAAGCATTCATACCGAAAAAACAAAACATTAATACATAAATACATACATACATACATTACACACAAACATACATACATTACACACATAGCACACAAACACACACATCACACACACACATACATACATACATACATACATACATACATACATACATACATACATGCATGCATGCATGCATGCATGCATGCATGCATACACTACACACATTGCAGACACAACATACATACACAACATACATACATGCATACATACACACATACATACATACATACCGACACACATACATACTACATTACATACATAAATAAATAACACAACATGACACGACATAACATACTACAACATAACGTGCCGTGACATAACATACAATGCGTACATACATACATACAGTTCAGCACAGCACAGTGCATTACATTACATTACATTACATACACCGCATACATACACAACATACTACATACATAAATACATACATACATACATACATACATACATACATACATGCATGCATGCATGCATGCATACATACTACATACATTACATTACATGGCGATACATGACATCACATTACATTACATTGCGTTACATACATTACACACATACATTACACACATACATACACATACATACATACCTTAACATGACATTACATTACATTGCATACGTACTTACTTACACACATACATACATACATACATGCATAACATCACACGCGTTCACTCAAAAAAAAAGCACACACACACAGAGTTGCATTACGTTGCATTACGTGTGATGCTGGGGATGTGGGCCGTGCATCAAGAGCGTCGCGTGAATTGCAATTCAGAGAGCAAAAGCGGAAAAACACCAAACCTTTTTGCTGTTTCCCCGATAGTGTCTGTGTTTTCGACCCCCCACACACACACACTTAAACTCCTGACGAAAGATCTCATCTTTCGAGAGCAACCGGTGAGTCTCGAGTGGGTGGGTTTTCGAGTGGCAGGCTTCTCTCTAGCGTCGAAAACGTTGCAAGATCCAACGTGAAGCAGACACAGCAAACAAAACAACGGGCCAAAAGGACTTTGTATCACTGGTGCACGTACACGCGGATGATCAGTCCGCGCTTCCCCCGAAAGACGCCCTTGAGCGGCGTGGAGAGCGAGAAGATGTACGACCCTCACGTGTCTGCTCAGAAGACGGGGTCCAAGGATCTCCTGACAGCCGCAAGAAGTAGATGCCAGAGCAGCTGTGACAGATGAGATTGGTGAAGGAGCTGTTGACACCGTGCGTGTTGGTAGATTCCGCGCTGATGTCTTCGACTTGTTGTGGAGCAGCGTGATTATCCCTCAATGGTGCTGCGGGTGAAGAGCAAAGGACTCCTCGCAAGTAAGGATCCGTTGGTATCCTTGACATTGCCAATCCTGGATGGTCCAAGCTTCATAGCTGTGTTTCCATTGTAGCCATGGGTCTGGCCAGACTTGTGGATCGCCAGGGGTGTAGATCTTGACCCAGTCATGACCATGCCGTCGGCAATACTTCAACGCGAGCAGGTTCATGTTCAACATCCATGAGGCGAAGAGACGTGAAGTGCTCACCAGTGGCTACGTCAAGCTCTCAACAGCTGAGCCAACCCATGAACACAACACAAAGCAAGCAACAAATAACGCCTCTGACCCAACCTGGATTAAGGTCAACGCACAAAGCTTTTTACCAGCAACCTCAAGAATCGCGTGACGCCGTGTCACTACCAAAGATGGATTTTCAAGCAGTGCGAGTAGTGCTAGAAGGGTTGCAGAGTTTGCCAGGCGCCGATGTCGCTCCGTCATACGGTTGAGACTGGACAACCAGAGTTGATTATTGAGGTCATCAAAGGAAAAGGTTGCCGAGTCAGATGATATTGCCTCACAGAGTTGAGGACAGAGGTGCCTGGGCGATTGGTGATGCTGATCAGGGGAATGATGTTGATGAGGCATAGGTGGGTGTCAGGAGGGCAACTTGGCTGTGATGGGCGCCCCGTCAGAGGAAGTGATCAGCTTGGGCCACAGCTTCCGCTCCCGGTAGGTGAATTGAGGAGGTCGTTCATCGCTGATGCTGCCCGGCAACCAAGGTCCAAGGTGAAAAACTTTGAGCCATTGCGCGTCCGGCTGCTGAGGGTCGGGGCACCGGCGTGATGAGATACGAGAACGGGTTGCACTGATTTTGACACAAACAGCTGCTTGATCCATGGAGACGACATGAGGTCAATAAAGCATGAAGCAACATACAGCGGGGGCAATTCCGCTTCTGCAAGATGGTCGAGGCACTCGCCGCAGACCGGCAGCTCGCAGCTCGCAGAGGACGCCCTCCGCGACGTGTTCGGGGGCCGCGCCGCAGCGGTGGTCTTCCGGGCAGCACAAGAGCTCGACGTCGTCGGGCCCAGGCAGCTGCAACTTCCAGGAGGCGAAGGTCTCGTGGTCGGACAACTTCTTGCCGGGCGCGTCGAGCTGGTCGTACTTGTTGAGGAAGTGCTCCAAGCCGAGGACCCTTTGGTGGATCAGCCGCCGGCCGCCCGAAGAAGAGAAGCTCCCCCGACGGTGCGCGGCTCAGTGGCCGCCGCCATTGGATCTCGCTGCGCTCCCCGACCTCCGCCACGCGGGTGTAGACGCAGGCGCAGCAGAAACAAGTCAGCGCCTCCACGCTGTCCTTCGCGGTCGCCTTGGCAAAGGAGCGCAGCGCGGCGCGGTCCAAAGAGCACCCTGCCAGCGGCGCGTCGGCGCGGCAGCGTTGAGCGACCGCCTCATTGTAAACGCTCGACAGCGCGTCTGGGCAGCGAGGCCTGAGCAGGCAAGCGGCGACGGGCTCCAAGTCTTCGGCGTGCTCCGTCTCGAGATGTCGGGCTAGGTCCGCCTCCAGGCCGTCCGCCGCCTCCCACCCGCAGCCGTCAAAGGCGCCGGCCAAGGACTGCACGCCGCGCAAGTCCACCTGACGGGGCCCCGACGGGGAGGCGGCATCCCCGTCAGGGTCGGAAGCGGATGAATTGCCGCAGCCGGTTCCCCCTCTCATGGCTGATTTGATGGCCGGCCCGCGGGTACCGCTGACCAAAGCTTTCCTTCATTGCGGTTGGCGATGCCTGCCAGTTGACTGGCTGCTGGATGCCACCCACGACCTGGCCGACCCTCGGCGGCAGGAGCTGCTGCGCGAGCAGCTGTTGGAGGTCGATTTCGTTGCAGCGGCCATTGATTGCTCTACTAAGTCACGGGCACGGGAGATCCCGCGGAAGTTCGACGATGGTCGCCCTGCGCCACACTCAATGTAGCAAGACCCAGCACAAGGCGAGCAAGCCACTCACTGGCGAAGCGAAGGTGATTTCAATGCACAGAATGCGCTCAAAATGTCACTTGTCATTCCAATCAAACTGGGAGGCAGGGAGTCTGCGAGTTTGCAGTGAGAGTTGAGGCGACGGGCTTCTCCAGGCCCCGTCGGACAGCGCAGACGCCGCTGAGGGATGTCCCGTCATGAAAGCTTGAGGTCTAGATTTGTCAGCTTCTGCCATCCTTTAGTGTTCCACCAAGTGTAGAACGTGGCATAGGAGATGGGCTGCCAAGGAGTCCGCAGTGGTACTGTCGCGCAGCCAGTACATATTCATCGGGATCGTCCATCGTCCGTTCATGATAAAGTTAGACATGGCTCACACAAACACATTTGAACTACAATCAGCAATCATCTGAGACTGAAACTTCTTGAGCCAGCTGGAAAGCACGCAAGCCAACAAACAGTTGCGCATGACGAAAACTCTGCCTTTCAACCAAAGAGGCCGCTCATTGCTGCTGACGTCGCCGATGAGCCCAGCATCTGCAGTGAAAGTGACCAGCTTGACGAACACATGGCATCTTGCCATTGATCAGTCTGGCGTGGCGATGAGGCCTGGATCTTGGAGTCCGCGATCTTCTCGGCATGAAGACGGTGCAAGGTCTGCGAAAACTGGCTGGTTCAGGTGAGGTGGCGGGAAACCTCCAGTGCCGAAAACTGAATGTGTTGGAACTGGTCTGTGGTTGTTGATGTGAAGACGAAGAACTTGACACTCTACGCCCACATTGACCGTGGATTTGTAGATGCCGGAATCCGACTGTTATGCTCCCTGGGCGATGTGTGTGTAGTAGAATTGGATTGGATCCACGTACCGGTGGTAGAAAAACGGGGTGTAGCCAATGTAGTGGTGGTGCTTCTGCTGGTTGGCCTTGTAGATCGTGTGGAAATTGCGTGGGAGGTGGAGGTGGTGGAGGAAGAAACTGAAGTGCGTCAGTTTCATGTGCAGGCCCATGATATTGTAGCCAGAAGGATGTCTTCCATGTGTCCAAGTGATAAGGGTTTGAACACTTTGATTCATCATGTGTCCTTGATTATGCAACCAGCTTCTGGTACACCTTCCAGGCTTGCTTCACCTCCTCAGTGTCAATCGGTTTTGCGCTTCACCAGTTCGTCTAACTCTTCTTGAAGAGAAGGTTGGTCATCCATGGGTGCATCAGGAGGGCAAAAACTCATCAGGTTCCTACGAGCAGGGTGAGGAAGGGGAATAAACCAGGTGAAGGTAGTGTCCACTGGCGCGTTCGTGTGGGAGGTGATCTTGATCTCGATCCATGTATCCGTGACAAGACATGCTTGGGGGTGGTGGCAGGGACAAGGCCGTGCGCGCATCAGCAGTGCTGTTTTGGTGTAAAGTACCGCATCGTTCAAAGTGTCCAGAGCCGCAAGCAATCTGAGAGGATAGGGCGTTGAGGATGGTCACAAGATTGTTCACAAACCCGGTCGACAGCAGCGAAAGCGATTCACTATCAACTAAAGCAAAGTACGGCTACAGGCAATCGCATGAAGCATCAGAGCAGAGACAACGCCTATTTTTTACGTTATGTCCATGGTCATCGTCCTCTAGTCAATCCTGACGGACGACAGGCCGGCATTGCTTTCGCAGCAGGAGTTTTCGAGTTTTTCTGCGTCTGCTCCTGGGGCGTGATCTGTGTCGGCGTTTGGCGGGGTCGTCCGCGACGATTGCGCTCCCGAGATTCATTGGGAGAGATGCTGAGTGGCAACACAGGATTGCTTGTTGCCGGGGTGGCAGAGGAGAGGGTGATCGGAGCCGGGTTCATAGGAACGTTGACTGGTGTAGTCCTGCGGATGCTGGTGCCGGCGTCGTTGGCGGTGGCAGAGGAGGTAGTGAAGTCGGTGCTGAGTGGATGGAGCTTGTGGAGGATGAGGTACTGTTGGAGGTGCCGGAGGTTGATGTGCGGAAGGCGGAGGCGGATTCACCTGCTGAGCTTCAAGTCGTTTTTGGCCTGCCAATTTCAATAAGATGTTGACCTGTGCCGTCAGCGCAAACAGAAGATTGCGACACTCTCGTAATAGGTCTCCATGATCCATAGGTGAAATGCGGAGGATGATTGCGGTGTCGAGACAACAAACTACTGCCGAATGAAACAGTTCAGACATGCAAGCGCTGTAGCAAAATCAATGACATGCTCAATGACGCATTCGTTCGCATGTTTAATGGAAGACAGACACTTTCACGGCAAGCCAACAACACCATGAATTAAATTCACGAAAAATCGTCTACGATACTCCCAATCGCTTGCCGCTCAATGGAGGAAGGCCATGCGTGACGCGCTCGTCTGCAAAGACCTGAAGTCGAAGAGCCGGGTCGAGGAGCGCCGAGAGCGTCAACAGAAGATTGCAACGAAAGAAGGCACGGCTATGGTCGATCTAAGTTTCCACCTCCCATCTTTGCTGTGAACGCAAGCATGAAAATAAGCTGCAGCAGTGTCTGAGCCTGGGCACCAAGCAGTGATGCCTCCAGTAGAATCCAAGTGGAGGATTCGCAAGAGATGAGTTCTGGTTGTCCTTCCGGTAGTGGTGCCGGCGCAAACTCCGATGTCGCGCGCGAGCGATGGGTGTCTCTCAAAATCTCCGCACGGAAAGGCATGAGGCCGCGGTAAATGGCTGCCATCGTCATGAAAAACCAGAACGGCTATGCTTGGGAGCATGTAGTACTGGATGTCGTTGATGCGGATTGACCTCCTTGATTTCGTATCCAGACCTCACACATGACTTCCTAGATCAGGTTGCACTGTGGCGCGTTGCAGGTGGAGAAGTTCCACTGAGAGGGCATTATCACTGGTCGTCTTCCTTGATGATGAGGATTGATGTGACGGAGTATCACGGTGATCTCGGGTATGACTCTTCCACTCTCCACAGTTGTCATCATCATCAGGATCGTCGGCGTGGGACGTACCTTTCTCTGGATCTGGAGTAGTCCTGGATCTGCGAGATCTGTCACACGCCGAGCACTTTGTAGGTTGGGCATGCGATTGCGCTGAGGCATGCTGCCGGACGTGTCTGAGCGAAGAGCTGGACGTCATTGCCGCTGATGAATGATGGGAACTGTTCACACGTAAATTGGCTGGTCGTCTGGACAGTTCCAGCTGGGTGCAGGCTGTTGACCATACATCGCCATTGCTTGCCCTGGCGTAGGGGCCATGGAGGCAACGATTAGAGGCACAAGCAAGAGCCAAACTTGCACACATGCAATCAATGAAACTCACAAAAGCCAAGTGATACCACGCATGAAGCACAACACAACCAAGTAACGCCTGTTGACACTCTGCGTCTCACGTCTCGGAGTTTGTCAGTGTTGAAGCCTTTGACCTCATAAAGTCTTTTAAGCAACTTGTTGTTGGACAAGTGGCTGAGCTCCTCTGACAAATAGCGGATGAGTAGGTGAAGATCTCATCATTGGCACTGCGAACTCCTTTGATTTGGGACTAGCTGCGGTGTTCTGATCCTGGCCAGCGAATCGCACAAGTGTCCTAAGACCTTGGTCTGTGCTTCAAGAAGTACAGGCGGACGGTAGAACTCGAGAGAAAGAAAAACTGGTCAGAACTTCTGAAGGTGGCGCTGAAGAACGAAGCAAGATGAACCGATTGTCCACCTAGCGCAGCGTAGAAATGGTTTGATGCCAGAAAAAGTCCTCAACCGTGGCGACAAGGTTGCAAAGAGGAGGAGCTGCGGGTGATCCCTGCCGAAACAGGTGACAAAGTTTAGGAGAAGTGACAAGTCCTCGGCATGAAACACGCGCGGAATCTTTGTCATGCGGTATCACTTCCTTTTGAAGATGCGTCTGCGGTGATCCGGCTTGATCTCATAGACTGACCAATGAGATACGTTTCCCACTTTGAGATCATATTGATGCAGTAGAACTTGCAGGGCTTGATGACACCGCTCAGTGGGAATAGAAGAAGGAACCTGAAAGGTCTTGAGACACGAGTTGTATGTACTCTGTGGGATCTGCAGCGGATAGGCAGTCCCACAATTGTTGCACAAGCTCCTGAACAGGTGGCTGGCCTGGAATGTGTGGCAAAGTGATCTTGGCGAGCTCGAAAATCAATGCGCTGAAGACTGTGAGAAGAGGAGCTGCCCATGTGCGAAAGAGCCTGCCTTTAAGCCAGTCCTTGGAGGGCTTGGGCAGGATGCGCGCTGTAGGTAGTGGAGCCTGAAGACGAAATCCCCATGCGTGTCGATGTTGAAGGTGAGGATGCACCGTCGTGACCACGGCGCGGAAAGACGCTGCGGGTTGAGTGCACAGTGCAAAGACCTCACCCGTGCAGAACGTCTTGTGAAGCAGGGTTCAAAATAATAATGGGCAAATCACCATCCGCAGTCCGGAATTCGTCATATACTGAACATTGTGACGGTGTTCTTCCAACAACTCGGGCACGATTGGTTGAGCATCAGCCTCAAGGTTGGAGAGTCCGTAGGTTCCATCTGCAGGCGAGCTTGCAAATTTGCAAACATAATCTAGATTAGAGTTTTTCAGCATCGCCGTAGTACTGATCCTTCATGATGTCACGGTCACGTCAAAGCATGAGCGCAAAAAGGAAGTATCTGGAGTCCATTGCTGCCGCCTGCGGTAGTTGAACAACCGGTCTCCCAGGGTGGCACTGCGAGTCTCGATTGGGTAGGAAACAATCTTCAAGCCACAGGACGAGTGTTGAGAGTGAGCTTCCTGTTGTGAAGCACTTGGGGTAGAAGCTTCTTGGCCGAAGAGGTTCATTGACGAATTCAACCAAGTCATAGACCTGGGTTGAAGGAAAGGCAGCTGACAGTAAATCTCGCATGGTCTGAAAGGAGGCACCGGTGTTGGACCCAAGTTGGTACAATAGAGAATAGTGCGCCTGAATATCATCCAGTGCTTGTGGGCGTACCTGTCGATGTAGATTAGGATGCAATCGGCGCCGGAAACATTTGTGTAGCGTGATCGAAGTGGGCAGTGACATGGAATGTCGTCGAAAGTCAACAAGGCGTTCACGAAAAAGTATTCTGTGTACCCAGAAAAACGCTGAGATGTGGTCGTAGAGAGTGTACTGCCATTTGCTCTCTCGAGCCCACACGGAAAAAGAGTGTGAGCCGTTTTTCACTGTAGTGGCTTAGTTTGCAGAGCCACGGTCAATGTGAAACTTCACGAAGTGAATTTTCACAGGTGGGGCGCTGACCATTTTTATTCAGAGCCCTCCTGCGCGACACGCAGCCAGCGAACCGCCGTTGAAGAGCTCCGCACGCCTGGGCCGGATCATCATCTCCGTAACCGCCCCCTCGCGCTGCGCTTTCCAGCAACTGCCTCGACTCTGAGGGATGCCTTCTTTGCGTGTTGGTAGTCATGTGGCCCTGTCTAGGCTGCTTTCTCGCGCATGGATGCACAAGTCAGCCACTGCCCGGAAGAGTTGTTGACGGGGCCCTTGACCCAGCCTCGTTTTGCATGAAAGACATTTTGAAGTTTGGGAAGAGCGTTGACCACGTCCGGCGGGCCATGTGCCCCAGGCTCCAAGCAGCCCCTCCACCTTGCTATGCAGGTGCAGAATTTTCAGCCGCAGACCTGAGTACATTCTTTGTGTCAGGGTGAGCTTGCACATGGGCTGTTACAGAAAACTTATGCGAAGAAGGTTACAGTGTTCAATAGAGGTTACAGTTACATTAGACAGGTCCTGAAGTTACAGTGTATGTATTTATGTACATATGCGTGTAACTCGCACACCGCTTACTTACATATGTATTATGTGTTATCTGCAAAAAATGCACGCATGCATCTATACATGACGGTTGTCTGAAATTCCTTGCGCCGGAAACCGCAATCTTCGCGGAAAAAAAGGCTGTTTTCGCACCATGCATAACAAAGGTAGTACACGAACTAAGCTTTCCGCAGCCCCGGCTCGAAAGCCGCAACTTTTCAACGCGAAAGTAGTATGCGCAGTGAACTTCCGCAGTCCCGCTCGAAAGTCACCACTTTTCAATACGAAAAGTAAACTTCCGCAGCCCCAGCTCGAAAGTCGCAACTTATCAATACCAAAGTAACACAGGAAGTAAACTTCCCCAGCCCTAGCTCGCAAGTCGCAACCTTTCAATACGAACTTAGTACACGAAGTAAACTTCCGCAGTCTCAGCTCGAAAGTCGCAACTTTTCAATACGAAAGCAATACACGAAGTAAAAGCCCAAGCTCACAAGCCGCACGGCAGCACGCAATGGAACCGTTGGCCACCCGTGTCCAGAAACTGGTGGGAGGTCCATCGAGTTTCGCGAAACTTTCGCGGATCTCTCTCCAAACATTAGCAAAAATCCGGCTGGAAAGTTGCACTCAACTGGACCCGACAGCTTCAACACTCCCACACGCTGATTTCTGCTGGGGGTTGCTTGTGCAGCGGCGTATTCTTCTGGCAACCCGCAGGCCTTTTCATTTTTATTTTTTATTTTTTTAAGTCTGTGGCGTTCTGCGTCAAATAGACACACGCTTCATCATTCCAGCTTCCAGTTGGCAAGGCACCCTAACACACATAACTTGTGCGAAAACAAAAAACCACATTAACTTTCGCGACCCCCTGCCACGCTAAGACCTAAAGGTCTTCTCTTTCATAGCTCAACACAAGAACCTTTCGGACGACTCTCACATATGCATATGCACACATTCAATTGATTTGTTCGTCTCTTCATTCTTTCCTCCATTCGATCACTCATTCATCAATTCATCATAAACCAAGAATACTGTCAGGCTTATTCATCGGATGTAGCTCGTTCCCTACCTCCTCCCCCGCTTCAACTGCGCGCCGAGCGACAAGGTGGGCTCGGCGGACTGAGTGAAGATCTCAGAGCAGGGCAGACTTTGGCCCCCTCTCGCGGAGGTGGGGCAGATCGGCCAGATAGGCTTGCGTTTTGGAGGGTACCCTTTTCAGGCTGGTTTAACAGGAAAGAGAGCGAACAACCATATTTTTTCGGGCGCCCCGATTTTGACAAAAACCCAAATAAGTTGTGCGTTTGCCAACAACTCCAAAGCATGGGAGATATCCTTTTTCTTTCTGCTTGCAGACCTGTCCACACAAAACAGATCCTTCCAAGATTAGAGGACCCCAGAAACTGGGTGTGCCCTTTTGGCTTCTCTGTGAAACAGTTGCTTATCCAAACGCGGGCCCCCAGTTTCAAGAGCACTAGTTCGGAACTCAACGCAGCGCCGCCTCAACTGCCAAGTACTTGCGCGACACTCAATACAAACCCTTGTTGATTGCAAAGGGAGAACCGTTTCTCACTTGCCCAGCTTCATCGTAATTCTACAGCCACAAGGAAAACGTGTACATCCAGAATCTGTCCTGGTGCCCGCACGCCTTGGCATCTCTCGCATTTCTCACAATGGCTGCGATATGTGCTGAGCCTTCCTACGCACGTGATGTATGCGGAAGACTTGCCCTCCTGCCACAACGGATGCCCACTCTGACAAATCCCAAGCTGAACTCATCCGGCCGAACGGCACACCGGGTCTCCCGCCAGAAACGAAAACCTCTCGATGCCACAGCAGCGCCGCAGTCGCGGCGGCCAAGAGGCGGCAGCGCATGGCGTCAGTCACAGCCGCGTCATCTACTCCGCGCAGCCCCTTGAGGTTTCCCACTTTGCTTCAAATGTCTGGGGAAGGAAAGTCCAGCGGACTATCTCATTATACACCGTGTTGGAGGGTAAAGTGAGCGCGCTCGCTGGTCTACAAGTAGCTTCTCATCCTCATGCTTTCGTCTCACGGTTGCCTTCCACGAAGGCTAAACAAAACCTGCCATCCAGCAGCCAGTCTCGAAACTGGCCATGCCTGAAATAGAGCTTCAACAAGCAAGCTCCCATTGCGGCGCAGCAAGCCAATGCAACATGCCTTGTCAGTCTAGCACACATGGGCAGCTGCCTTACCATTTTTGCTCGCTGCCACGCCAGGGGCTACAGAACGTGACACTTACATACAGTTCTGCTTCGATAATCACATAGTGTCACAAATCATCTTTACTTCAACCATTGCAGTCAGTTTGATGGCAGCTTAAGTACGCCGAACGTCGACGCCTCTGAGTTGTTTCTAAAGCAGCGCGATCACATCTTTTGCGGCATGCTCCAGGTGAAAGCACTCACATGGATGGTTCAAGTTGGTGCTACCTTGAGCCGCATTTTTGCGTGCTGGACGCATGGCTTCCCAGTGAAGCCCTACGAATTGGGCCCTCCGACCTTCGCATGGAAGCATACCGTAGCATACCAGCTTGGATTGACAGAGACATGCTATTTGGAACAGGCCCCCGTCAGCTTCAAAATACTTCTATGCTTTGTTGGAGGGGCGAGCTTGATGCTTGACGCAAGAATCGAAAACTGGCACCGCCAAGCGCAGCGCAAAAAGCGAAGGGTATGTAAGGATGTCTTTGCCTTACAAGACTAGTTTCCACCTTCGCCTACAGGCTCTCCTTGCAGGAGGGCTCGTCATATTGAGAAGCCAGACCTGCGGTAGTGGAAGCGAGGCATGCGTCAACGGTCATTTCCTTCTTGGCTCATACAAGCCTGGGCGAAATTTATCTGCAGCTAGTCTGGCTACCAGTGAAAGAGGCCCAGTTTTCCGCTTCAAGGGATCACCCCTCATGCTGTCACAAAGGAACCCATACATAAAACCTCATGAACAAGAAAGTGGCACGGCGTTGCAATGTCTAACTCTACAAAACAAACGCAACAGGCCTCAAGCGAAAAGGTTAAAACAATTGAAGCTCCTGAAACACAACTGACCGCATCCTGCCCAGGGCCGCGCCTGTGTGCCTTGCCATCGCGGCAAGGTGGGAGTTGACAGATGCCAGCAGCTCACGGGGAGGCCCAGTCTCCACTAGATGCCCTGCTGACATGACGAGGATACCTGAGCTTTGGCAGCTTGACTTTTGAACGATGCCAAGTCGCTTACCTGTGATGCTCTTGCAAGGGTGTCTGCTGAGCCAGATCTCTCACCCATTTCCTGCCAAGGCGCGATCGCAGTCGACAACCGTCTGCAATCTGTGAGCGACCTTGCATGTGAGCAACGTGCAAACTGCCAACTGTCGGAGCTGCGTGCGTCTCCTTCCCAAGACAATATGGGAGTTGTCGCTAAGGCAGGCGCCGTCATCTGCGTGGATTCTCCGAACGTGGTGGGGCAGCGCAGCAGCTGTTGGATTGTCTGGTCCTGGTTGGCGCTGACAAAGAACACGCTGCTCTCAGCTTTGCGCAAGCCATTGCTTGACTCCATGCAAGCCTTCACTGACTTCTGCTTGCGCTTGGATGCCTTGTCCAAATGCAGCTATCTTCTCACTGCGTGCTACAGGATCAATATGCTACATACAAATCTGGAGCTGTTTGTCTCCAGTGACAAATGCCAACATGAGCCACGCACTTCCTTCGTTTCAGCACGAAACTGCCTGACCAAAACCCGAGACACAAAACTGCGACTGCAATCAGGCCAGGCTCTGTGGCCGCGTCAATGTTCGAGGTCGGCTCATCGAAGATGCGAACCTGCCCGACGCAATGGCCAAACCGGGGTTGTGACAGCAACTTGCTCACCTACGAAATGCTGCCTGCGGGCACCCATGCGCGGGTGGGTGCGGGCAAGCGATCACGCCTGCTAAGTATCCAAGGGTTCTTCCAAATGGGCTGCGTGCCATGCCTTGGCTGAAAAGCACATCAGTTCTTTAACGACTGCCAGTCTCAACCAACAGAGCGCCAATCCGTTGACCGAGGCCTCTGAACCAGAGGCGTCTAGATTACTGGAGTGACGCGAAGCTTAGTGATGTAGTGACGCTGGCTTGCTGACTTGAACTTCTGGTTGGACACCGCCACCCTACCTGCCAACTTGAAAGCCATTCTCCCCCTCAATCTCTACGAGTGGACAGAATGTCAATTCCGGATGAACCAACCTGCACTAGGCAAAGTGAAGGTTTCTCAATACAACGGGAGCTCAATCAGGCTAGTCATCCTGAACCCCCTTCAGGTGTCCAAAACCCGCCTGCCTTGCACGGCCACAGCAAGCTCCGCCCAAGGGTCAGCAGCTGCCGTTGCCCGTGGCTCAGTGAGGACGCCTCGGGCATCGGACACAAAATTCAAAACGTTTGGCGAGCGAATATTTGCGGGCGTGTATCTCTCTCTCTCTCTCTCTGTCTCATTTCTCAGGCGCGGCAGGTCCCTGGGCCATCGAGATTATACGCCTATACTTTGAATTTTACGCCACTAAGATATAAATATTCTAAGCCGTTAGGAGCCTGAGACTTTAAGCCACACAGATTTAAGGTGTTGAGCCACTAAGATTTGATTACTAAGCCACTAAGATTCTGAGATGTGAAGAAACCCTAAAGGTAAGCGCCTCAAGGGGCTTGAGGGCCTTACCCTTAAGCTTCGGGGCCTCAAGGGGCTTGAGGGTAGGGCCAGCCTGGCGTGCGGGGCTTGAGGTTGGGGCGACTGACCTCACGGTGACTTGTCGGACTGAGCCAGAGGCTCCGAAGTATGTGTATGCTGTATGCCCATGCGCGCGTAAGCACGGATGGGACAGTCCCATTCCGTTGTGTTCTGGTGGCACCCGTCTTTTGTCGAGGTTAAGGCTGGCCGCGGCTTGAGGGCCCGGCCGCTGAGCTGTTGAGGCCCGGGTCCAGCCCCACCTGCGCGACAATCCGTCAATTTTGTTTTTTGCGACACCGGGCTTTCAGCTTCGGGAGCTTGTTTCCAGCAGGAAGGAGGGTGCATTGAGCTTCTGGGTAAGCCACTTGGATCTGCAGCTCCCAAGCGGTCTTTTCTCCCTGGATGCGCTCCAAGTCCCGCTCGAGCAGCGCCAGCCGCTCTAGCAGCTTGCTGCTCTCGTAGGAAGTCAGCCAGGCCTCAGGTCCGAGGCATCCTCGAAGAAAACGGACAGAGTATCCCCCAGAGCTTTGGCTCTACCAACATGAAAACAAAGATTCCCATGGGCTTTACGAGAATCCCGAGGTACTTTGGGAGCGTGTCGGGGGGTGCGTGCAATCAAGGCCCTTCGAGTTCAAGAAAAGTACAAGCAAGCACGTACAATGGCACAATGCCCACACAATTCAAATTGTGTGCGGCCCTCACCCGAGTGAGAGGCTTGCAATTGGCAAAAGCAACCGACAGAGTCAGCTGTCAGCCCCAGCTACGAGCAGCGAATCGGCTCAAGGCTGACTTGGCCTTTGTGACATGGCGTATCCATGCTTGTTGCGGCAAACTTTGGCTCAAAAGACCTGGGGAATAGGCTTCGCTGTAGCAGTGGTGGCTGCATGGAAATCTGATTTCTGCGCGCGGGGTTCATTGGAGTGGTGAGCACATTCTGATGTTGTCATCATTGAGCAGCTCTGAAAACCCATTGGCTTCTGCCTCTCCCAGCATCATTACAGGTTTCTATGATCACCAGGCCACGGAGTAGAACCTTTTCCATGTTGCCCAACAATTCGTCTTGAGCGCTGCTGAATCCAACTCCTTCTCAGGGGGATGAGAATCCAAAGTTGCCTAGAAATAGAGAGCCCTCATGAGGATGTTCTGCAATCCTCATTGACGCGCCCCAAATCTGTCCCCAACAGCAATTCTATGATGGTAGTGCTACTGCAATCCTTGAACATATGCTAAGGCGCGGCGATGGGATGACCGCATAACCGTCACGCAGCGGGAACCCGTAACTCGGTGCGGTCTGGTGGCGCTCAATTCCTCGTCGCTGCAAGCTCTCCGAAGGCCCAGGCTGTAAATGAGAATGTCAACATGCTCGTCCTCTCAGGCTGAGGTCGAACGGGCCAGACAGGCCGTATTGAGGTCCGGCTAAAGCCGTTCGGGGCATGCTGTCGATTTCAACGAGAGCCAATCTGCACAAGACTGCATCTGAGGCAACTGGTCAACCGACGCATTTGCGACAAGCGGGGGGTGAGGGGAGAATAGTTCTGAAGAAGTAGGAGCGACGCACAAACGGGTCTGCCAAAACACAACGCTAACCACATCTTCACATGCTGGCTGCCAAAATGTTGCTCCATCACAAAAGTCCAACGTGGTTCTTGACATAGGATGCCTCTTTCCCATGTGTCAGTTTGTGGGCTGAAGGATGTCACACACACACACGCACGCACGCGCACACACACACACACACCACACACACACACACCCACCCACGCACACACGCACGAACACAAACACAAACACAAACACAAGCACAAACACAAACACACACACAAACACACACACACACAACACACACACAAAAACACACACACACACACGAACACACACACACACAAACACACACACACACACAAACACACAAA